AGAATGATTAATTAAGATTAATAATAACAGTAGTTAAAATAGCGAATAATTTAGTAAGATTAATAATAACGGTAATTAACATAAAAAGATTTATAATATTGATAAATAATTCACTGCAAGTAATMATTATGAATATAATTATAAAAAGACTCAATTGAGTTAAAATTAAATAAATCGACCTGTGTATCATTAGCTAATTTCATCATTCTATTAATAGGAGMATTTACTAAATAATTAGTTCTATGTAGTTGCATATAAAAAGTATAAGTAGATCTCGTTTGACATTGAGGAACATAGAAATTAAGAGAGTTTAGTAATTCACTAAAATTAATGATACCGTTTACCACTTTATATAGGAACTTTRAGTCAATTATATTTCTCCTGGTTGCAAGACTATTCATATTTAAAGTGACTAATAAAGGCTTATATGGTGTATGACGTTGACGCGGAATATTGCATTTRTACGAYATAAAGCGGAGGAAGCGATTTTGTATACCTTCAAGGCATTGGATATGGGCATTTACAGATGGCGACCAGATAACCGAATTATATTCTAAAATAGAGCGTACTAGTGAAAAATATAATGTCTTAAGAGTAAAGGGTTCATGTAAAGTTATCAGTAAAATCTTTACATGTCCTACTAATAAATCCTAGTATAGATGACGATTTTTTTGAAATATTCAGATAGTGTTTATTGAAAATAAKATTAGAATTAAACGTAACGCCTAACGTATTATAACCTTATTATAGATTTTACCTATCGCAATAATAATGGATGTCGAAACTTTTGTTGTATCCAAACCAAACTGCACGCGTGTTAATTACGATAGTAAAGGAAAATTCACTCATATAGGTAATCGACCGTATATAAAACGCTGTGGAATTAAACGCTTTATGTGTATAGGTAGATACCGATCGTAATAATGAAAATAGGTTTAAAAGGTAAATATTTGTAAGCCTAAACGACGGTTGTTTGGCTGTTCCTCGGAGATTTGCAAGTGCCAATCCGTATCAGCCGAGTCTAAATCACTGTATATCGTAAGGTTAATTAGCATATTTTGCTCTGCGTGTGTGTTTAAAGTGGCATTCGATAATTATTGCCCTTCAATATTTACTGTAACCCGCTATTCTTTGACGGTGTACCAACAAATATCATTTGTACTATATATCAGCTAAAAATCGTTCTAAATCGATACGCAACAATACAATATTTTATAAGACAATAAAATATTATGATACGAAAATTTCACRATATTTTTGCTCGTCCGAAGATCTGCTGCGTCGCAAAGTGATATTTTCCTTACACGAGACGCAATAATAATTATTTATTATTATAATTATTAAAATACTACCACCTCTGACACTATTTACTTCTAAACGTTTTTAATTATTTTTCGATTATAATATATACTGTTCACCAATAACAATCATTAATTTTCAATTTTGTATTCTGAAAGAAAAATACTGTTTACGCGTTTTTTTTATGTAAAACTATCTAATCACATCGAGTTATCAAAAGTTAATTATTGACAATTTTTAAAAGTTAAAATAAATGATACAAATATACAATGTTAATAATTACTGGTACAATAATTTTACCGATATTTGGAGCATCATGTCATGCTTGGATGTTCGGATAATATTGTTTTATCTGCGTAAAAAAGTCAAAAAAATCTTGTAAACTTTCTACCCACTGAAAAAAAATCAATTTTTAAAACTAGTTCCATATATAATGAGAACAATGTTACATTTTGTCAACGTCTATTGTTATATTATTATATTTTTCATTTTTTTACCTTTCAAATGAATAATAAATTATTGTTCCACGTATTATTAAGAACAATAATATATTACTATATTACCCTGCATTGCTCTTCGATTCATTCTTTCACCCTCTGCGGTCGACTGTTTGACGTGTCAAGTCCGACTGGGCGATAAAAGCCATCGTACAGCACAAAAAKCGCGCGAAATCCCTCGGCGTAATGATATCCTTGGACCGTTCCTGAATTGGCCTTTGCCCGCGTACTGTTTCGCAAACACATTCTCGACGATAGAGCTCGTGGACGAGCTACTGGTACGCAGGAAAAATAAAACCTTGACAAAGGGAGACAAATGTTTATATTTTCCAGAAGACACAAAAACCGATTCCCTTTTTTTTTTTTTATGTTTGTACCGTCTATTGATGCTCGACTGTGAATAATACTACCCTTTTCGGTGATATATATATACACCACAGGTCGTATACCTATTCATTTTCTCATTCAATTCTCGTGGCCTGAAAAAAAAAGGTCCTAATACTACTTCAGTTTCAAAGCACTACAAATATATCATGAGGCACGCCGCACTACGCCATTCTCTATATAAACAAAATATCTAATCGTTATTATAGTTTATTACCATTGCTTGTATGACATTTTATTGTATATTCTTAACTCACCGTTGGCAGCGGAGTATTGAAAAAATTAACCTCCCCCCATCCCCCTAAAATAAATCCAATGCAAAATTATAATTGCTATTCGATTGTCGTGTTAAACAATATT